TTTTTTTTTTTTTTTTTTTTTTTTTTTTTCCCAGCAGCACAGAGCCTCGCAAGGTGACGCAGTTCCTGCTGAGGTGCCCACACCCTCTTTCTTTTTGGGGTCTCCGTCTCCATCGTGCTTCTGGGGCTCCTTCGGGACACGGAGCTCGGCTGGAATGGTCTGGATGGCAGAAAAAAAGTGGGATAACCAGGCTCAGCTGGTGCCCCCCTGCACCCTCCGAAGCCCATTTCTTCACCCTCCATGCGCTCAGTGCCTGAGCTAATTGCTTCATCCCAGTGAGCCACTGCTTTGTGGCATTTACTGTTTCCTAATTTGCTGTAATTAGACAGAAATCCCACACTCTCCCAGCAGAGGTGTGATCTTGCTGCTGGCCCCACAGCTCTTGGGTCTTCAGGGTCTCATCCGAGCTCCCTCCAGCCCAGCACGAAGCCTCTGAGGTTCTTAGGCCGGAGACATGGCCCTGGCTTTGCTTTTTGGGGTCCCTGCAATGGGGATCACCGGGCACGAGCCACCCCGGGAACTGGGCATGTGCACACTCACAGCATAGTGCACACCTCCAGCATCTCTTGCACCCCCACAGCATCTCTTGCACCCCCACAGCATCCCTTGCACCCTCGTGCTCTGCACTGGGGCCAGCTCTGTCCCTCCCTGACCCCCCCTTTTCCCTCTCCCACAAAGGATAAGTGATGTCACCCCGTCATCTCTGCTTTTTTTTTTTTTTTTCCAGTGTTTTCCTTTATTAATTTATACAAAAATGGTTGCAAGTGATGCAAGCTGATAACAACCCACCACCATCCCAGCCCCGAGCCCAGCTGCCAGCCGGGGGCCAGCATCCCTGGAGACGGGCAGGTGGGGGAGCACCGTGCAGGCAGCACACCCCGGCATAGCACCCCAAAACCTGGGCAGGCGCAGGGCACCGCAGTCCCTGCACCGGAGGAAGAGCAGGGAATACACCCAGGCCACGCACGGCCACGTTGGCGCTGGCCCAGAGCCTGGGATGTCCCCAAAAGTGCTCAGAGCGCGAGGCAGAACTGTGGCAAAGGAGCTCCCGTGGGGTGACAGGGCACGGGGCCGGGGGGACGAGCCCGCACATCCAAGGGCTTTTGGAGGAAAGAGCCGAGTCCCTCTCGCTGCGATGCTCCAGGGCTGGGGGACCTGCAACCGGAGGGTTTTCGGGGCCGGAGGTGGGACAACCCCGGGGGTAAAGGCTCTGGAGCAAAGGACGGAGAAAGGCGGCTCCGCAGCTGGGGCCAGGAACCCCCTTGCCACCTCCCTCCCGCCACGGCACGGGCCAGAGCTGGGGATGGGAAGGGAGGTTTCCTAACGGGAAGGAGAGCCGAGAGGGGCAGGGATGGAGCCGGGGAGGGGGGTCCCTTCGCCCCGGCCGGGGACACGAGGAGGAGATGAGCCCCGGCAGGAGCAACGCCGCGTTTTCCCAGGCGCATCCCACCGGGACCAGCAGCCTCTCGCGCTTCTCGGTGCAGAGCCTGAGGCCTCGGGCGCCTTCCCGTCCCCCACCACCCTCTACTTCCTCCGGCAGCCCTTGGCCGCGTCCCCCATCATGTCCCAGTACTCTCCGAACTCCAGCTTGGCCTCGTCAGGGTCTCCCATGCATTCGATCTTCTCGTCCAGCGGTCCGACACACTGCAGCGGGGGTGGAAAAAAGCATCGGGGTGAGGGGGCTGCAGGGTCCCGCCGGCAGCCCGTGCCCACCCCAGCTCCCCCTGCCCACCCCCGGGCTCTGCCCTCACCTTGCCCAGGTGGGGCAGCTTCTGCACCACCAGCTCCTGCATCTCGTTGGGCGTCAAGTACTCCTTCTGCCCCTTCACTGCGTAGCAGTGGAACTGGTTGATGACGGTCTCGATGGCCCGCTCCACGTCGGTGAGCTCCTGGCAGTCCTGCGCGGGGGGAGAGAGGGTGAGCACCGGTGGGACACGGCCCCGGGTGGATGGGACATTCCCCGGACGGGCAGGACAAGCCCCCCGAGGAGACGCGACACTTCCCCGAGCAGATGTGCCAGTGTTCTCTTCGGATGTCCAACCCCTCCGCAATGCCGTGATAAACCTCCTTATCAACACGATACCCCTCCGTACAGATGTGAGACCCCCCTCTACACACGTCAGACCTCACCATACAGGTGCGAGACCCCCGCACAGATGCCACACCACTCCGTACAGCTGTGAGACCGCTCCATACAGACGTGAGGCCCCACAGTACAGACGTTCCATCCCTCCACACAGGCCCTGCCCAGCTGCGGTACCCCCCTGACAGCTGCCGTACCCCTCCACCTCGATGTGACACCCCTCCTCACAGGCATGTCACCCCCTGTTTCTGCTTGCCCTGACTTCTCCCTGCCCGGGGCC